GATTGTGGTCTATGACCATATTTGCATCCATCAGCGGTTCGCGGTTACCAGTTTGCATCTAGGTTGGCTGTGATTAAGCCGCTCAAACTCCGGTTTGTGGGAGAGACCTAGGCAACCACTAGAGCCTGAGTGAGAGGATCGATCCTGTGACAAATCAATCTCTAGAAAATCCATCCCGTGAGAAATGGATCACTAGTTGCTCCTCCTAGTAGTTCCCCTAGACTTGGTGAGTGGATCGATCCCGTGACAAATCGATCGCTAGTGAATTGATTCCCTGACAGATTGATCACTAATTGGTCACCCCTGCGGTTCACAACCACCTACGCCACGCGACTTCATTCAATCCAACGAGTCATGGTAGCTAGTTAGGGGGAAGCAACTCCTGGGCGAAGCTTCCTTAGTTAGAGCTTTCCTTTATTTACTTTTCCTTGCTTGTTTAGTTTGTAGTTCCATTAGTTATAAACCCTAAAGTTGCTTGCTAGATAACAACCTAAGCGATTGAAGTAGGGTTACATGGATCAGCCCGGGTTGGCAATTTAAATACTTGCCCTATACTGCACCCGGCTAGAGTTTAAAAACTTAGGCTCTAGTCGAGATTAATTCGTGGTGTAGTTTCGTGCGAGTCAGAGATGCTAATAGAATTGTACACGACACTCTCATAAATCTAAGTGAAACCCCACACACAATTAACTCAATGTAGTAACTTCCATAACTCCAAGTCTTGGAATTAATTTGAGGTGTCAATACCAACAATCTCCACCTTGAATCAAATTGGAGAAAGACTTGTCCAGAAATCTCTTAGAGGTAATCAAGCTCTTCGAATTCTAACTAAGTTAAAGCAACTATCAAACTTAGTTGAAGGAGTAACTTTAGTGAGCATATCTGCAAGATTGTTGTCAGTATAAACTTTCTTCACACTAATATCACTTGCAATCATAACATCTCGGACAAAGTGGTACTTGACTTCTATATGTTTGGTCTTTGCATGATACATGTAATTTTTAGTCAAGTGAATAGCACTTTGAATGTCCGAAAATATTGTTGAAACAATGTTTTCAACTACAAGCTGAAGAACTAGGCCTCGTAACCAAATAGCCTCTTTGACCTTCTCAGAAATAGCAATATACTTTGGTTTTGAAGGTGAAAAAGCAGTTACGGGTCGCAAGCAAGATTTCCAGCTAACACATGAATTGCAGAGAGTGAAAACATATCCGAAAGAGACTTCTGTTTATCTAAGTCACCTGCAAATTCAGAATCTGTGAAGCCTATAATATTGTTGGAATGATTTTCACTCCTCTCAAACAATAGACCCATATAACGGGTTCCCTTCAAATATCGAAGTATCCACTTCACAACATTCCAATGTTTTTTTCCTGAATTTTGCATATACCTACTGAAAACACTTACTACATATGTAAGATCAGGTCTTGTTTAAACAAAACATACATCAAGTTTCCAACTACACTCGAATATGGAATGCTAGACATATAATCCAATTCTTCTTCCGTTGGACAATAATCAGCAAATAACTTGAAAGGAGCAGCGAGAGGAGTAGAAGTCAGCTTACAATCAATCATTCCCAACCTTATATACACTAACAGGTTCGTGTTGAGCTCATATGCAAGACAAAACAAAATCTATACGTGACAGGATTCTATCCGAATTGGCACCCCAACCATCGATAATTCTTCGCGTGGATTTAGCTTTGGATGGTAACTTTAATACGCAGACGTAACTGATACAAACAATAGATAAAGATGAACAAAATAATAAAATTAAACACAAGCAGCGGGGGACAACAATTTGCACTAGGACCACTAAATTACGATGGGATCAGTCTCCTTGGCTGCTGATTCTGTCATTTACAGATTCGACTAAAAATACCGACTCTCGATCACATATGTAAACAAATTCGAAAAATAGACCCGAGCAAAAATTAAAATAGGAACGGAAACAAAAAATAACAACAACAGGATGGAAATAGAATAGTTACCTCGTTCCCTTTCTTATGGTTGTGAGAGTCCCCGTCAACGGTCCAAACTTTGATCGCGTGTCTTACATGCATGAAAATTTACGAGGTTCGAAGACCAAGATCGTATTCACTTTGGTCTCTCACAATCACTTACTCAGGTGGTGAGGGCGAGTTCTGTGTGGTTTAAAACAAATGTGGGTTGAGGTTTCTGTGGTGTTGAAGTTCCCTTTGGGTTTTGATCTCTTGCAGTACGTGGATGCAAATTTTTCTTGTCCAAAGACTATGATCGTATTCCCTAGGGTCTCCAACAAAAACTTACTCAAGTGGCGAGCGATGAGTTTTTTGTCGTTTGAAATGTGAATGTGGAGGTTGAGGCCTTTCAGGTAGGGGTGTTCAAATGGTTACCATGGTAATTACAAAATCATTTAAATCAAATTTCTATTAATCATGGAATACAATATCATAACCAAACCGTCCATACTAAATGCAACAACCAAATTAACTAAACTAAAGTTTAATTGGTTAACTGGATTAACCAATATAATTCACATTATCATTAAGTGAGAACATTTTCGTTCATGCATCATTTCACAATTATATGATGAATAAAACATTACAATGAACACATAGTTATAGTTAACTCTTACAGAAATACATGCAGCTAATACGATTATATTACAGTCAATAGAAGTTTTCACGTAACAAAAATACATATCAATAGTATGGAGTCAATGAATTGTTGTGATTGTGTGAATTGAATTAGTCTCTTAGCAATTATCATAGGTTGAAAAAGATTTTCCTTTCAAGTTTTCATCTAATACATTATCTAATATATTGTAGAAGTTTTTATCTAAATTGGGCATTCATAGATCATGGTCTACACTCTACAAATACAAATATACAGTATTTGGACGATATTGAGCTTTATTGTTGATGAGCATAAAAGGAAAGAATGTTTGGTTCTTTAGTAGTTATGCCAAGTATTGAGGTTGTGTATATAATATATACTAGATATATGGATAATTAAGTAATGAGCTAATACCACTAGGAAACCCGAACTATTAAGAATGTGCCATTTGTGTCCTAAAGTATCTAATATGACATTTGTGTCCCAACTATTATAGTTTTGTGTCATTTATGTCCCAACCTATTATAGTTTTGTGTCATTTATGTCCTAACCCGAATTATTAAGAATGTGCCATTTGTTAAATACTAACGGTCAACGCTTGTCAACTCTAACGGAAAAATAGTTTAGGACACAAATGTCATATTGGATACTTTAGGACACAAATGACACATTCTTAATAGTTCGAGTTTTCTAGTGGTATTATCTCTTACTTAATTGGTTAGATTGGTTAGGAGTGTCTGAAACCAAACGAAACAACCTAAACCAAACAAGCTAAAAAATTTAACCAAACCAAACCAATTATCGATATTAATCAAACCAAATTAGTCAAATACTACCGGTTAAATGGTTACCACGATAACCATACCGTTTGAACACCCCTACTTTGGGGTAGAAGTTCCCCTTGGTTTTACAAAACAAAAGAGAAAAACAATGTAGAAACAAAAGCTATACTACTTGTTAGTGAAGGTAGCAGAGTGAGCATTGCATAAGCAAACTCTCCTAGAGTTCCCGATTCATTCCATTAATGCATATTTTTACTCTTTTGACTTGGTTGTTTGACTTGTTTAGTATCATCCTTGAAACTATTTTACGCTAGCCATAAGCATTTTCTTTCTCTTTGTTTGCGTTTTTGCACTTTAAACGTGTCTAGAGTGGGGCAGCACATAGATGTGTGACATCTTTAAAATTTACATGATGATCAAAAATCAAAAGCATATGAGATTGGCCCTAGAACGAACAATATCGTGATTAGGAAAAAGGATTTGGATGTTACAAAATACAAAAGTTGTCTAACAATCCACTTTTCTTCGATCTCTTCCAACACAGGAACTGAAAAATGGAAATGACGAAAGAAAACTCTTAAACACAAAACCGATCTCTTTTTCCTCCATACTGCCATTTTCTCTCTTAAAATAAAACCCAATCCCGTTTGAAGAGTCAAGTCCAACCCATATCCCCAATCCGTTACCCGTACGGGACGGATAATGGGTACCCAAACTACCTGTACATACCCGTACAATTAACATGACGGGTATGGGTACCCGTAACTCTAAAAAAAGGGACGAGTATGTGTATACCCAAATACACGTTTCCCACTGTCCACCCCAATCTCTTGCTTTGCTCAGTTCCCCTTAATTCATCTACCTTTCTCCTCCCTGACTTTCTCATGGTAGCCTTTTTCCTCTTTGCCTCTCTCTTTCTCCATCTTTATCTCTTGAGTCTATCAGCAATAGGGTTGTTCAAATGGTTACCATGGAAATTACCAAACCAAATAAGTTTAAATTCTATAAACCATGGAATACAATATTATAATGAAACTGTCTAAAATAATCCAACAACTAAATTAACAAACCAAAGTTTAATCGGTTTGATTAATTGGTATGTGGTGTTATATTGGTTAATCATTAACCAATATAACATCACATTATCAGTAAGTGAGAAACATTTCTGGTTAATGCATTAATTCGCAATTCATATATTAAATAACACATAACAATCAACACATAGTTATAGTTAACCATTAACATAAATACATGTAACAAATACAATTATCTTAGAGTCGATAAAACTATTCACTTAACAAAAATATAAGCCAATGGTATGAGGTTAATGAATTGTTGTGTTGGTGTGAATTGGCTTAATCTCTTAGCAATTATCATAGGATGAATAAAAATAAAAACATTTCTTTCACATTTTCATTCAACATAATGTATGAGTTTTTATCTAAATTATGTGTCCATATATTGTGGTATACACTCTACAAATACAAATATTCATTATAGCAACAATATTTAGTTTTTATCTTTTACAAGTCCAAAATAGAGGAACATTTGACTTTTGGATGGTTACGCAAAGTATTGAGTATGTGTATATAATATAATATTAGATATATGACTAATTACTTAATTTGTTAATTTGGTTTGATTGGTTAGCAGTTTCTGAAACCAAACCAAACCACCTGAAGCAAACAAACTAAAAATTTAACCAAACCAAACTAATTATTCAAATTAATCAAACCAATATCCAAATACTATCGGTTACCATAATTACCACCACTATAACCGCATTTGAACACACCTAATCAACAAATCAGCAGTTCAATTTCCATCCAATACCGCCCCCTCCCCTGCCTTTTTGTTGAATCATTTCGTCTCCTCTTCTCTCTTATTCAATATATCTCTTGTATGACCACTTGCAAGATCAACCCTTTCAGCTCATCAAGCATTCACAACACTCCTCTTTTCGCCTGTTTCATCTTTTAGCCATCTATTCCGTCTGCTTTTCCTCTGTTCACCTCCCTTCGCTGCTTGCATAATTGGCTTGCTTTCCTCTGGTTCTAAAGGTTCACTGAATTCGGACCATTGTCGTTTTCTTCTTCTTCTCCTCATCCACCTTTGTTTTGCTGTTTTTAGAGGTTGTAGTTACGATTTATCTCATGTTTTTTTTTTCTTTCTCTTCAGGCAAATGGAAAACAACGTGGCGTGTGGAGTTAGTATGGAGGAAGATGAGATGGATTTGCCAGCCGGGTTTCGTTTCCACCCAACTGACGAAGAGCTCATTTCACACTATCTCTACAACAAGGTTCTAGACATCAACTTCTCTTGCATAGCAATCGGCGATGTTGATTTGAACAAGTCCGAGCCCTGGGAATTACCTGGTAAGCTTTCACCAACCCGACCCACGAAATTTAGGAAGCACAGTGATCAGATTCTACTCCTCTGACTTTCCCCACCTCTGATAGCTCTTCTGTCTCTGGGATTTTTGTATATTGGACGGTGAAGGGAAAGCAAAGATGGGGGAGAAAGAGTGGTATTTCTTTTGCATAAGGGACAGGAAGTACCCAACAGGGCTAAGAACCAACAGAGCAACTGAAGCTGGTTACTGGAAGGCAACTGGTAAGGACAAGGAGATTTACAGAGGGAAATCCCTCGTCGGAATGAAGAAAACCCTTGTCTTCTACAAAGGCAGGGCCCCCAAAGGAGAGAAGACGAATTGGGTTATGCACGAGTACCGATTGGACAGGAAATTCCCTACCCACAACCTCCCCAAAACGGCCAAGGTAAATAAATAACAGAATATAACAAATAATATTGAAGAAGAAAATCTCCCCATACTCTGTTTGTCTGTTTCCCCTGTTTTATTCACTCTCTCTGTTTCTTTTGGCAGAACGAGTGGGTGATTTGCAGGTTGTTCCAGAAGACCTGTGGGGGGAAGGAATCTCACATCTCCGGAATCCTCCGATTCAGCGAAATGGATCCTTCCTCTCTCTTGCCACCGTTGGTGGAGCCGCCATCAGCTTACAGCAGTGATCAGAAAAACAAGCCAGCCGGGGCCGAATCATCTTCGGCCTACGTGCCCTGCTTCTCCAATCTCACAACAAGCAACAAGGACGGACCAATTGTTGCCAACAACCAGATACCGTCAAATCCGATTCCTCTCTACTCCTCCCATTACAATCCCCACTTCTCCCCAGAGAATTTTCACTTCTCATCCACCCTGATGCAACAGGACGACAACTCGATTCTTCAAGCTCTGTTGGAGAAACAAGGAGGCGCCTTGAATATGAAGCACAATTCCAGAGCTGCTGATAACGGGGAGATGATAAGCGTTTCTCGAGAGACGATGATGGCGATAAGCGCGGAGATGAACACTAAAATTTCTTCTGCCATGTCACAGGTAGCTCATTTGGACTATTTTTGGAACTACTGATATCGTATAAAATAAATTGAGTCCTGGGCTTGGTGCAGTAGCTAGCCAGTTAGCCAGCCAACCAGCCAGCCAACCAACTAACCCCGTCAATTCAGTCCCACACCCAGCAAATCGTCGCACTTCGGAAAGGGAGAACATAAGTTTGAATGTAGTAGTTCACAATCAGTATTTTAGTATACATTTTGTTGTTTTGTTCTTATCATTATCCTCCTGGTTTGTCGTTTACCCGTGATTACGATTACTGCTATCGTTAGACCCTGAGAAGATTTACGTCAAAAAGATGAGGGAAAAGGGTGGGGAAAATGGAAGAATAATTTTTGTACCCGTGATATATATGTACTGTGAGGAGATTTTAGTCTTTTTATCAACAACTCTTGTTGCTTTTGTTAGTCATTTGGCAAATCTACCAAATCAAGTGTGATTGAGATATCAGATCTCTCATCTTATATCCTTTGTATATGAGTCATGCATGTCATATTATTATATTATATTTCACTATCGATTGGTGCAATTTTTTGTTTCCTTTGGTGGAATTTGTATAATGCTAGCTGTGAATTCCAAGTCTACCTATGTTCTTCATCTTGAACCGTACTACTATATTTTTGGACTGTATGATTCTCAAATTTATTTTTTATTTAAATTATGAATTAAATTGAAATTGGCATATATAATATACCCAAACATTGATAAATAAATTTCAGATCTCGACTTTTTAAAATCAAACCTTGATGTAAATTCAATAACAAATTACGAACGATTCTTATTCAGCGAGGTATATGGATATACAGCGAGATATATATATATGGTGCCTTCTACAGTACTCCGAGTAAAATTCGGGGTACCGCATATCTTGAGTATAAAAACGCTATCTAGACCTTGAATTAGCAGGATTTTTGGGCATGATACTTTACACTAACCCTTAATGAGTGAACCCTAGGTCCTAATTATCTAAATTATAAACTATAAATCCTAAGATGGTGCATTAATTTTTTTGCTTATATTTGGACGAATCATAACTGTCGATTATTGTTTCTAATTAAATTGATCTTGGGGTATACGATTTAGAGAATTAAGAGCTATATTTTGATCTTTAAGGGCTAGAGTATAGTATCATGTCGGAAAGATCAGTCAATTCAAGTTATAGATAGCGTTTTCTTACTCAAGGTATGCGGTACCCCGGATTTCACCCTGGGTACCGTAGAACTCCTATATATATATAGGTGACTACTTCGGTGCACTCACAAAAATGAGTGCGTTCAATGCATATGATAACAACTAATTAGTGTAATATGATATTATAACATATGATAACAACTAATTAGCGGATTACCCTAAGCCCTAGACCTCCAATTTTGAGTTATATCCCTAAACCCCAAATTGTAAACCCTAACCCTAACCCTAAATCTCTAAACTCTAAATCATTCAAATTAAAGTAAATCTTTAATGGGATTTGTGACAATTCATGTGTGTTATTGTTCATCACATCATAAGTGATGATTGACATCATTTTGACATAAATCGCATGTTTAAAATGATGGTCATGAGGCGAGTGCACTGAATGCACCCAAAAAAGTGAGTGCACCGAAGACGCCACCATATATATATATATATATGGTGGCTACTTCGGTGCACTCACTTTTATTTCTAAAAATGTCCATAATACATCAAATTTTGAACTTTAATTAGTACTCTGAATCTAACATGATGATATGGCATAGAATCATAATAAATCAATCTATTACCCTAACACCTTAACCTTCAATTTTGAATCCCAATGCAAAATTCCAAACTGTAAACCTAAACCCTAACCCTAAACCCCTAAATACTAAATCCTTCAAATTAAAGTAAATCTTAAATGATTTTTTTATAAAATTTATGGGCTTATTGTTCATAATATCATAAGCAACAATTGATACCATTTTGACATGAATCGCATGCTCAGAATAATGATAATGAGGCGGGTGCGCTGAGTGTACCCAAAAAGTGGGTGCGCCGAATACGCCACCATATATATAATAGATATTTTGAAGCTTTGGAGAGGATTCGAGACTCTTCAGGTGACTGGAAATGAAACTCTGTCATTTCGTGTTTTAAAACATTATTATTGTTACGAATAAGGGATTGATGTAGTGGTAATGATACTAGCTTTGAACCTGGAGGTCTCAGGTTCGAATCCTTTCAATAGTACCTAATCACAAAAAGTAACCTGTCACCCTTATCTAATAAAAACATTATTATTGTTCTAAATTAATTAATGCTAACATCATCGTTTATATTGATTCACAGTGGTTGTGAATATCAGATAATCCCAATTACATATTATACTGTAATGTAAATTGACCATCTTTCTGTCTCTGTCAAAATAATTCACTATAAAATACTAATAATTAAACGTAAAAGTGGCCATTAAGGAATGTATTTTGGAATAATGGTTGAGAATAATCAAGGGGCTTAGATAAAAGAAAACAGCCAAAACTTTGTCATTTATTGAAACAGAAAATCTTGATGATGAATGAATATTGTTATTTAGGAGAGATTAGGACTTTCGTTTTTGGCAGAACACTAATTAGGAATTTAATCACTGTCTTCACATTCTGGTAATGTTGGTGGTGCGTGGGGAGTGGATAGGGGGATTTTTCTAATTATAACACCTTTTAAATTTTTTTTCAAAATAGCAATCAGTCCACACAAATTCCAAAAATAGCACATTTCTTTTAAAACCACACATTCAAGGTGCGTTTTATGTGCAAACCACACAACGAGGGAGCGGTCCTCGCTAGGGCAGCCCCAAAACCGCATTTTCAGCATGCGGTCCGTGTTCCCGATGCAGCAATCCCCAGCACCGTTGGATTAGACGGCGATCCAACGGCGAACCGCACGCCAGCGCAGCGATCCGCGTCAGCGATCGAAGACCGCGCGCCTGGCGAACGGTTTGCGCCTCGACCTCTGTGAACCGATCCTTCTAGCTGCAGTTTTGAAAAAGGCAAAATTACGAAACCGCCCTTGGAGGGTGCGGTCTGAAGTCTATAAATATCCCCCTCCCCCTCCACCTTTTTTCACCCCACAACTCATTCTTCTCTCTCTCTCTCTCTCTCTCTCTCTCTCTCTCAAATTATCTCTCTATCCATCCCCCTCCCCTTCCAAAAGTCTAGGAAATAGTGGTCTGTTGGTTGCGGCTAAGTACGATCTGCCATCAGAAAACATTTCTTTGGCTTTTCCTTCCAAACCGTCGAATCTCTGTCCACTTTCGCGAATAAATGGACGAGTGGTTCCAAGAAGAGGGAGTTTATTATGACGAATTTCAAGCTGTACGTACTCATTTTACCAAATTTTTGTTGTTGTTATAACCTTTTCAATTAATCTATGTACTAACGTTTTTGTTATTCTCTCGTAGGTTGGGGACGACGTGGATATATACAACCAACGGTATTATGTTGATCAAGCACCTAGTGATCCAACCGTGTTATATGAAGAACCCAACCATTGTTCAAGGGATGTTTGGAATGATCACGAGGTACATACAATTCTGCATCATTTGTCTTTCTTTTAATTTGTTAACGTACTTAGTGGAATATAAAATAAATTTGATCATTTTTAATCGTATTGGTTGTTTTTAATAATTTAATCGAATACATAACGCCACTTACTTAGACTCTTTATAAAGAGATGCATGCCTAAGGAAATGGGGTTTTAAGCAATTATCTTGATCTTCCCATTCCCTGGGAAAATCGGGTTTTAAGCGATCCTCGGATCCCCCCTTTTTCTGTCAAAAAGGTTGTATTTCTAAGAAGATGTATACATCTTCTAAGAGTCTTACGAGTGTTTCATTGTATTCGATTAAATTATTTAAAACAACCAATATGATTTATGTGTATGTGTACAATTATAATTTTATTAGTTTCAAATATTTGAATATGTATCTCTTTAAATTATTATTCATCTAAAATTTTATTTAATTTAATTATTTGAATATGTTAGTTTTATGAAATTATGAATATATCTTGGAAAAAACCTTGAATTATTTTAATTTATTTTTTAATAATACAATTATAATAAAATTATGGTCAAAGTTAAATCATTTATTTTAAATAATTTATTTATAAAAAAAACTATTAATAGTATATCATAAATAACGTTTAAATTTTTGCTAGGAGGCATACCAAATACTCCGCTACAGGGGTATGACCAATGTGATACCATGGAACGACGTTATCTTGTCCTTTCTCAAAAAGGCACAGTTGGAGTCGATTCGGCATTTTTCAAGCATAAAAATCGATCTTCAGCTCATCACCGCATCAGTGGAGAGATAGCGAAAAGAGACACATTGCTTCAACTTTCGCGAAGGAGAGTCCACCATCACTCTAAAGGACATCGCCATCCTAACCAATCTGCCCATCGACGGCAAAGCGGTGTGTGTGAGTCATCATTCGTCCGAGGATGTTGGCAATATGACCGGTTGGCAGTATTTGATCTACAGTGTTTTGGGTGTGCGAGTGCCAGTCAAGGGGAGCGTAGATGCGACATATCACTTATCACCTTTCAGGAAAAACCAAGTATCAATAACTTGGTTGACGAAGTGGTTGAAGGACCAACACGATCTTACAAAAGGCGGGGTGCCCTAGACTGAGGAAAGTCTAGAGGAAGTGAAAGAAAGATATGCTCGTGTCTATCTCATAGGCATGATCGGAGGAGTGTTCTTCTCCAAAAAATCCAACAATTTAATTAGCTATGGATGGCTTAGGATCCTCCTTGGTGATTGGGATGCGATGGGGGAGTTGAGCTCGGCATCCGCTTGCCTAGTTAATATCTACCACCATTTGTGTAATGCATCTCTCAAAGCTGTGAGCAGGGCAATGTTCATCGTTCAATTTTGGGCTTGGGAGCATCTGCCATGGATTGCACCAGAGAAACTTTCCGACAGGAATTGGCCAATCGACCATCCCCTAAGAGGTGAAGCTTATGGCTGTAGGTAAACTTCTCATATCCAATCATGATTTTCATAAAACAATTTCATTATTTAGTTATAACATTTCATTATTGTCTAACTAATAAGGTGGGTTGGAGCCACAACATGCGACAACCTTGTAGACCACAAGTTGGCGGAGTATCGGAGGAGGCTAGAGCGACTTTGGGAAGACGAGGTAACTAGAATACTTCGAAATGTTATAACTTTTTTTTATGAACTACATGTACCTTCCAGTTTTGTTTAACTTAAGTTTTTCATTTCTTTTTGTAGATCATTTACGATCCATACCCTGAGAACATCGTTCACTGCATTGCCAGCAATTCCCTGGACATATCGGGCAATGGTACACGAGAGTCCCTCTCATTTGTCACCATACCGTGGAGTGGCACTTGCCGAATAGATGCCTCCGCCAGTTTGTCGGGAGAAATGCATTCCTGTGGAGGTCCCCGAGAGTCAAAGGCTG